AGCCCAGACAGATTAAATGTGAGGAATGTGGAAATCTTTGTAATATATTTACAAATTATCTGTATGACTTTGTAGCTGTCCACGGGAGATTATGGGTAGGCGCCGGAGACATCTAGTCATAGGTGCCAATCCTGGAGCACACATGGAAAAAAAAATTAGTGCAACAGCCAGCTACGTCCGTCCCCCCAGCACCTCCGGTCCACCAGTGCCCTGCCAATCAATTCCTCCCCCACCCAGCATCTCCTAGCCACTGTGATCAGCTATTCCATGGCATGCAGGAGGCACTGTGGAGGAGGGGGAGCAGTGGGGGCAGGGTGCCCTCAGGGGCAGAAGTGGATGGGAAGAGTGGGGGTGGGAAGAGCCGGGGGGGGGCTTTTGGGAGAAGGGGCCAGGCAGAGGCAAGACTGAGCACCCCTGGGGCCCAGAGGAAGTTGGAACCTCTGCATTTGGTCATTAGGACAGTCAGGGCTGGAATCAATACATTTGATTTGAATGTAGAACCCTAGTGAGGCAATGAATACCTGTAAGACCAAACATCAAACCCTAGAGCAAGTAACTTCCCCCAACCACCCCATGTGAAAGCAGAGCAAGACGACTCTGGCTGGATAACAAAGGCAAGAGCTGTCAAGTGACTGGGTCTTCAGATTACTGCTGCCAACTGAGCAGCGACAGATGGACTGAGGACAGCATGGATCAAGGTTCAGAGCTCCCACTAATATGGACTCTGTCTTCAGTTTGTCTTTCCCGTGCTCACCTACGGACTCTCCAGTGCGGTGTTCCAGATGACTGGAAAAAGCTACCTTGTTTTGAAAAGGCTGCCTTGCATTACTCCACATACGCGTTGTTTTTTGCTGCCTAAGCAAAGCCTGTGCCTGGAGCAGGGATGGGCAAGAGGTGCCTAATGGGCCAGATCTGGCCCACCAAGCCACCGGATCTGGCCCGCAGCCGCCTCACCAGCACCCTTATTACAGGGCAGGGACAGCCACTTTAAAGAGCAGGCTGCTAATTGCTCTGCAAGCTGGGCAGGTAGGAGAAAACTTCACGCGCTATCTCCACCTCCTAGCAAATCCCCATGCTCCCATTGGCCAGTTTCCGGCTAATAGGAGCTGAGAAATTTTGCTGAAGACAGGAGCAGTGGATGAAGCCTCCTCACTCCCTCTTCTTTCCCTGTGCTGGAGCAGAGCCAGGTGGAGCCAGGGAGTCTGCAGAGCTGCTGATAGGGAGCCGCCTAGGTAAGCGCCTCTGGCACCCCACCCTTTCTCTCCCCCCAACTACCTGCCTCAGACCACCTTCCAAACCCTCTGTATCCTGTCTCCCCACCTCCTCCAGGTCACAACTCCCTCCCAGACACTGCACCCCTCCTGCCGCACTGCCCCAGGCCAGAATCCTTTCCTGCACACATACCCCTCCCTGACCCTGCACCCCATTCTCCTGCCCCACGTCACCACCCAAACCCTCAGCATCCTCTTTTCCCCCTTCTCCCAGCTCCCTCCGGGTATGTCTACACTACAGCGCTAGTTCGAACTAACGTCCGTTAGTTCGAACTAGCTTAGTTCGAATTAACTAATTCGAACTAACTTAGTTCGAACTAGGTAAACCTCATTTTACGAGGACTAACGCCTAGTTCGAACTAGCTTAGTTCGAATTAACTAATTCGAACTAACTTAGTTCGAACTAGGTAAACCTCATTTTACGAGGACTAACGCCTAGTTCGAACTAGTAAGTCCACATTGAGTGGACTCTGAACAGGGCTTAATGATGGCCAGAAGCAGTGCCGGCAGGGCATAAAAGGAGGACTTAGAGCATGGAGATACTGTCTCAGGCTAGCCGAGGGCTGCGCTTAAAGGGTCCCGACCCCCACCCCGGACACACAGTTCTAAGGGGTGCCCCGCTTGCAAAGAAGTTCTGGCTTGGAGTGCCCTGAGTGCCCACACTGGGCACATCACACCACTCGGCCATCAGCCCGGCTGCACTTGCCGCAGGCTGCCATCTGGGGAGAGGGAGGAATTGGGGGGCTGCAGGAGAGCTTCCCCCCCCAGAAGCCCGCAGAGCCAGCCCAGCCCTCCCCATCGGGGGCTCGTACCCCATTCCTCCCTCACCGCCTTCCACTTACCCTTCCCTAGCCCCCCTTCTTATTGATGTACAAAATAAAGATAACGTTTCTTCCAACATTGACTCTGTCTTTATTGAAAAAAACTGGGGGAGACTGGGAAAAGGAGGTGGGAGAGGGGAAGAGAAAGGCTGGGAGAGGGGAGGGCAACTAACATGATCAGGGGTTGGGAACAGGTCCCAGATGAAGAAAGGCTACAGAGACTGGGACTGTTCAGCTTAGAAAAGAGGAGACGGAGGGGGGACAGGATAGAGGGCTCTAAAAGCAGGGGTTGGGTGGAGAGGGTGCATTCAGAAAAGTTCTTCCTGAGTTCCCATAAAGAAGGACTAGAGGACACCAAAGGAAAGGAATGGGTAGCAGGCTTGAAACTAGTAAGAGAAAGTTGTTGTTGTTGACAAAGCAAATAGTTAACCTGTGGAACTCCTTGCTGCAGGAGGCTGTGAAGGCTACAACTAGAACAGAGTTTAAAGGGAAGCGAGATCAAGTCATGGAGGTTGGGTCCATGGAGTCCTATTAGCCAGAGGGTAGGAGTGGGGTCCCTGCCCAAAGTTTGTGGAAGGCTGGAGAGGGATGGCACGAGACAAATGGCTTGGTCATTGTCTTCGGTCCATCCCCTCCAGGGTCCCTAGGGTTGGCCACTGTTGGCAGACCGGCTACTGGGCTAGATGGCCCTTTGGTCTGACCCAGTACGGCCATTGTAAGCTCAGGGCTCAGTGTCGGGGGGCTCCGTGGGCCCCCTTGATTTTCATGCACACCTGGTCCTGGGTGGCCAGGCTGGCAGCTCTCCTGCCCTAGACGGCCACTTTCCTGTGCCTAGTGCGGAGATCGTGGACGAGGTCCACGATGTCCGCACTAGCCCAGGAAGGTGCCCGCCTCTTGCGGTCCAGGGCAAGCTCCCGGGAGCCGCCAGCCTGGTCCCGGCAAGAGGGGGTGGGCTGGGGGGCATCGGGTGGGTGGCTCTGTGCCGTGCCAGGTGCAGGGGCTGCTAGCTGGGTGCTGGCAGGCTTGCACCTGGCACGGGCACCGTAGCCAGCCCGTGCCCCTTTAAGGGGTCCGGGGCCGGGAGGGGGGCATAGAGTTTCCCTGATGTTGGCCAGAGTGGCCACCAGGGAAACCTGGGGAGGGCTAGCCTCCCACTAGTTCGAACTAAAGGGCTACACAGCCCTTAGTTCGAACTAGGTAAACCTCATTTTACGAGGACTAACGCCTAGTTCGAACTAGCGCTGTAGTGTAGACATACCCTCCCAAACCCTGCACCCACTCCTACACCCCACCCCCAAGCCAGAATCCCCTCCTGCACCCATACCCCCTCCTGCACCCTGCACCCCAAGCTCCTGCCCCAGATTATAACCCCCTCCTTCACCCAATCACCCTCTCAGACCCCACACTCCCTCCCACACCCCAGTCCTCTATCCTAAGCTTCCTTCTACACTCCACCCACTGTCCCAGACCCCATGGCCCCTCAACAGAAGTGCGATCCTTAACCACTTACCAAATCTTGGAGAGACCCCCCCCCATTAAAAATTATTGTCCACCCCTGGCCTAGAGTCTGATCTGGGTTAGGCTGTTGGGAGCCATGGTGAAAAGCAGGGGTTGTTGGAAGTCACAGGCCCTGTCTAGGTGAAGTCACAGAAGCAGTGTGGTAGAGGCCTGACATAGCAGAGGGAAATTCCCAGGGACTGTTTAAAGCAGTGAGGGGCAACCTAAGCTAGTGAGCGGGCTGCATGAGCAGCTCGCCTTCATCTCAGCGGGCTGCAAGATTGTCTTCCAGGATAGGGAAGTTTTGGTAATTGCACTGGTGTACCTAGAACTTGTGGGTTGTCACAACTGAACCATAGCAGCAGCGCTCTGACTGCATGCAGAGGGCATGCACAGCTCTCACAGTCAATGCAGTGCAATCAGCACGCTCCTCACTTCATGTGCCCTTCCTTTAGTAATACTGCTAGGAAAAAAACATGCAGACAAAAATCCGTAGAATCTGGCAACCCTGTCCAGGGGCCACATATAGACCCTCCCCTCAATGGGCTGCAGATTGCCCACTACTGGTTTAAAGGTCAGGACATAGCCCTAGCCCTGTAAATCCACACCACTTGCTCAAGTTCAGAAATTTGCAGCAGAGCCACAAGTTACCAGGCTGGGAGATTCCCCAAAAGTGTACACAAGACCCATGGAAAGGAGGACTTTCATCACCTAATGGTAGCGCAAGACACTCAGAACTTTGCAGGATCATACCCTCAACTCCCTAAGGCTGGTACCGTGTCTTCTTGATTGCTTACAAAAAACCCATGCTTTTAATAACACTGTGTAAATTTCCAACCGGTGTGGATGCTTTCCTCCTCACTTGAGCTAAATGAAGCTGTGCACATGCACACAAGCGGAGGCTCTTTTGTTTTGCAGGTGACTTGTTTGACCTGAGCGTCACATTCTAAACCATACACGGCAGGAGAGAATCCTTTTCCTAGAGGGAGAGATTTTGTGCCCTTCTAAAGAAAAATTAGTTTTACACTGCACCTGTACTTCCCCATCGTAAGCAGAGACTGTTCCTCATCCCTTACCCCCACTCCAGCCACAAATAACAGAAAGAATGAGCTATTCTGATGCCCTGGGGAGACCATCTGCAGCCTCAAACTGGAGTTCACCAGGGGGTTTAAAGCTATCAGCTTGGTGGGACTGACAACTCCCAATTCCCCCCATGACATTAATTTTTCCCTCTGTTTTTGAATTTTTAAAGGGCGTGGGGGACACACTCAGAGGCTGGGCCTGTGAAAGGAGTCTCCAATACAAAGTTTGAAAATCACAGCTCTAGAAGATCAATATTAAAAGGCCATCCACTGCATTATACAGAATTCCCAGTGCACTGCAGATCTACAGCCACCGTTTTGTTCCTTACCTTGCCCCGCTAACATCCACTCCAACCATTAATTGTCCATTCAGGGAAAGAATCTCATCCCTCAGTCGTACTTTCCCACATCTCCCTGCTGGACTGCTTTTCTTTAAGTCCGTTACCCAGATACAGCCAACATCAAGCACTGGGCCTTTGTGCCCTTTCCTCTTTTTCCCTCCTCTCCGTTTCTCTCCATAGTCTCCAAAAGCAGGGATGTTCCCAAAACTTAAGCCAAAAGCTTCATTTGTGTCCATCTCCTTGGTAAGGTAGAGCGTGCAGATTTCCATGTCTAACATGCTGGGACCACTATGCTGCAGTTCGCTGTCATCCATGGAAAAATTCAGCTGTATGTACTCTCTCAGCTTCTCAATGGCCGACTGACACAGCCTCTGCTCTGGCCCTTCCACTTCCTCCCTCAAGCTGATTTGTAGCCACTGATCCAGGAGGGGGAGGAAGAGCATAGCGTTCTCTTGAGTGATGGGCATTGTGGGCACCCAAGGATCCCATCATGTGAAGGATGGCTTCCCGGGTTCGCTACACAGAGCTTGACTGAGACTCCTTTCAGAATCCCGACACCCATCAGCCTGCCCCCCAGCCATGTTCAGAGAGCGACAGCACACATGGGGAATGAGCAGCTCTGTTGAACGATTCAGTCTGGCAAAGGATAACAGGACGCTTTTATGAAAACACTGAAACAATTGCTGTGGATGGCTCGGCAAGAGGAGGAAGGAAGTGTCAATGAATTCTGGATGGGCGACTTTTACAGCTGGCCAGCTACAAATTACACTGGAATCCAATGAGAATTCGTTCCACAAGGAATGTTGTTGGTTCATCACCATAGCCACTCAACACCTGCTTGGCCTGTAAGATAAAAACAGAAACATTATGATCCTGGGTATCCTTACAGCCAAAATGCTGCTCAGCTGCTACGCTCATTAGATAGAAAAGAAACATTTCCTAATATGTGTGTGTTTCACAGTCTATTTTGTTCCCCCTTTTAATTTTTAGTTACTAGGTTATGCCATTCTGCTGACTAAGAGCGCAGGGTGTGCAGTTCCCTCCACAAGCACCATTTTTATTATTCTCTTATCTGCCACTTGGAGGCACCACTTATCCTTCTCAGGAAGTGAATGAAAGGTCACCCTTACAACCGGACCTGCCAATGGAGATCATGGCCCTATAAACAATAGGATAACCTGTCTCAGAACAAAATACTAATACAGAAACTCAGAGGCAGTCGTAAAAGCAGAGAACTTCTGCAAAATGATTTGTAGCCACTGCAAACAAACAGCTTCCATAAATGTCAACGGGGCGCTGTTCAGAGTCAGAGCTAGAGAACTGCCAGGCCCTTAGAATCCATCCCCAATTCAACCCGAGATAGTGAGTAATGTTAGGGTTGTGATTTATCAACCTCTCTGCGCCTCACTTGATCGGTCTATAAAATAGGTACATCATACTTGTTTATCCCACTTCCCAGGTTACTGTAAGATACAATAAATGAGCACAAATTATCCCTATAATCCTGCGGACCCCCAAGTAACAATAAGTGCAAAACACTCATCATATATGATCTCCTCCAACAAGCTTTTCAAGGAGTGCCAATGCCTCTCAGAGACCAGTGTGAAGTGAGTAATTACAGTAACCGACACAAATAAAGCAGACATACAATGGTGTGACAGAGTGGCCTGTCCCCTAAAATTCTGGTTGAGTCACTAAGAATGCTTCTGTGGGCAGTTGCTACATGCCTGCTTATTCTGGCCTGTGGTTTAAACCCAGGAACCAGATCTAACTAAACACATGCAGTTTGATAGGGACTTTTTTTGCACTTAAAAAAAAAAGCACAAAGTAAATTAGCTCAACTTCAGAAGTTGTACTATTAGTGTTTCACCCCATACATAGGCACTGGGGAAAAGCCACACTTCAGACATTGTACACAACATGGTATAAATTAGACTCTCGTTTATACGTATGAGAGGAGAATAATACAACAATATTCCTTTAGGTGACCTGAGGCTTAGACTTCATCACAAAAGCCCCATTGTATTTCTGAATATCCTCATTACACACATACCTCTGTTTCTTTTTCTGACAAATTGAGTTTTCCCTTCCATGGATGCCCTTTTTGAAAAGAACTATGCGAGGAGCTCTTAAACCCCACTTCCTTGTGTGCGGAAAGAGAAATAATCAAAGTCATAAAAATGTGATTTTAAAAAGTTGATTTATGCCTGTGATGCCCTCAGCTAAAATGTTTAGGGTTTATATCCCTGACACATCAAAGCCCAGCCTCAAAAAGAAAACAAAAAAGTATGCACACTGTTATTCCTTTCTACTCCCCCAGTTGGGTCAGAGTAGAATGGCTTTAGGTGACATCTTTTTTTTTTCCAGCTATTTGTGATTTCTCCTAAAAATGAAAATAAAACAAAATACCATCTTCCTACGGGAGAGTGACTGAATGCTAGACAGACATTCATTTATTGTTTTTTTTTTCATTCAAAATGAGTTTTCATTCCTTTTCTTAATTTCTGGTTGGCATCTAACAGCAACCACATGACACTGAGAACAAAATCAATCAATCTCAACAATAGTGTCTGGCTCTCGGAGGTTTTGCCAATACTACTCCTGCGGGAGTTCAGCACAGGAGTAATTCATAGGGTGGGGGGTGTCACCCCAGGAAAGGTTTTACTGAAGACATCACTGACTCTCAGATTAGGTCTCAGCAGGAGTAATAAATCTAGAGCAGAGGAGACATGCACTGACACTAAAAGCTTCTGTTTAACCACAAAAGTGAGATATAGCTGAGATCTTTAAGTCATCAAGGTCCCAGTTCAATGAAACTGATGCAAAACTTTCCACTAACACTGGATCAAGTTCCTAATGCAGGGGTGGGCATTACCAGGCCCCGGGATGGATCCAGTCTGCCAAGGTCCCCACGCTGCCTTATTTACCTGCTTCTCCACAGGTATGGGAGAGCACAGCTCCCGCTGGCTGTGGGTCACCTTTCCCACCCAATGGGATCTGCACTCAGACTCTGTGCTTGCGAGTGGGGAAGCATTGCCTCTCAGAGGTGCCCAGGAGTGTGTGAATTTCCCAGGCTACTGGGTGGGAGCTCGAGCCAGTTATGTGAGATATTGAACCTGGCTCTGGTTGCTGCCGGGCCTACCTGGCAGAAGGGCTACATAGGTATTACCAGAATTCGACTCTGGTCCCAGGTGTGCAAAGCTTTCCCATATGTGAGTACAGGCAGTCCCCGGGTTACGTACAAGATAGGGACTGTAGGTTTGTTCTTAAGTTGAATCTGTATGTAAGTCGGAACTGGCGTCCAGATGCAGCCGCTGCTGAAACTGATCAGCAGCTGATTCCAGGAAGCTGGGGGCAGAGCAACTCTGCCTCAGGCTTCCTGTAGTCAGCCGGCCGCCCCCCCGGCTCCTCTGCCCGAGCCATCCTGATTCAGCCACTGCTGGTCAGTTTCAGCAGCGGCTGAATCAGGACACCTGGGGCAGAGCAGCTTGGGTGCTGCTGGGTTGGTCCAGTAGCGCCGAGGAGCAGCGCTACTGGAGCAACCCAGCAGCACCCCAGCTGCTCTGCCCCAGGCGTCCTGATTCAGCCGCTGCTGAAACTGACCAGCAGACCAGGGCGACAGGGAGCAAAGCCTCAGAGGACGCCCACAGCGGGACATCCGCGGTGTGCCTGGGCTGTCCCACTGCGGGCGTCCCCCGCGTCTTTGCTCCGCGTCTCCCTGGTCTGACAAGCAGACCAGGGAGACGGGGAGCAGCTTTTCTCGCCCCGGAGGACGGGGGTGGCGGGACCGTGGCTCATCTGGGCGTCCCGCCGCTCCCGTCCTCCAGGGTGAGAAAAGCCCCGTTTGTAACTGCGGATCCGCGTAACTCGGGGACTGCCTGTAACAGGTATTGTGTGTGTGTGTGTGTGCGCGCGCACGCAGGCACACACTTGCATACAGTGCCAAGTTTTTACTTTTAGAAGGAAACAAACTATATTTAAGCACTTAAACAAGAAAGTGGAGCACCAACAGCTCTTGCTGATCAACTAGCCATTATAAAAATGTAATAAATATTTGCAGATCCTGAGGCGATATAGATAATGCTATATTCCACATTTTCAAGCTATTATCAAAAAGTATTTCTGAAGAAGAAGAGTGCTATGTTGCTAACTTGAGCAGAGCTAGTGTCAGTATGTCTACACTGTGGCTGGGAATATGCTTCCCAGGGTAGGCAGACATACTGACACTAGCTCTGCTCAAGTTAGTGAGAGAAAAGTAGCCATGAAGTCAGAGGTAGCCTATGAAACAGCAAGGGCCATCCCTAGATGGATCCTGCCATGAGGGCAGGGGACTGGACTCGATGACTTCTCAAGGTCCCTTCCAGTCCTAGCATTCTATGATTCTATGATTGAGGACCTGGGGCAACCTCTCCAGTGCAGGGGTCATGAGCACTGGGGAAACACCCTCTGCCATGCACCACCCTCCCCTGCCCTGCCCACTTCATCCTGCCTCATCCTTTCCCCCCAATCCCTACCCCTGCTCCACCGCCTTGCACGAAGCCTCCTCCCCTGAGCAGCATGAACCAGGGGATTATCAGGGGACCTGGGAATGGGGTGGCAGCAGGAACCAGCCCCTCCCTCCCCCACACACACACACACACCAAGGTGGCAGGAGTCAGAACAACCTGGCAGCCTGCTCCACTCCAACCCACCGCCCTCTACCGCTTGCTGCATACTGCTGCACTGTGATGGTGGGAAGTGGAGTGCCATGGGGGAGGGGTCGGAGGAGTGAGTGGGAGGGGCAACCCCTACTGCTGCTCTGTGTCAGGCTCCCCAGGTAATCCCCCAAGCCGCCCTGAGCCTTGTAGGTCCAGTCCACAGGACAGTTGAGGCAGTCATTGTGGGACACCCCAAGGCTCAAACTAGCTGTCTGAGTATGTCCCCAGGAGGTCCAGGCAGGTCTGTATTCAAGCAGCTAGTCCCAGCTGCCGCCCATACTAGGCTGCTATTTTTAGTGCAGTAGCTCGAGCAGAGCTAGCAATCTGCCTGTCTGCCTTGGGAAGCATACAGTCAGCTGCAACATGGACATTCCCTAATCCTCTTTGGGAACTTGCTGTATACAGTAGTTCTTCCTCAACGGGACATTTAAAAATATATAAATATTATGAAGCTTTTGCACATCTGCAAGTGCTTTTAAATGTTTCCACTTCTCTCAAAACCTTCCTGTGGGAAAAACCTCGGACAATAGTTAATCATAAAACAAGAAAAACCACTGCAAGTAGCATGTGAAATTGGATCCATATTGGTTCAGAAGGTAAGAAATCCAGAATTACTGACCAAAGGACATGAAGTCGTAATGCTTACATTCCAGACTTTGAGAAAATGCTCTTATGTTTGTAAAATGAATTTATGATACATACCAAGAAAAGGAAAACTTGCAGATTCAGCGCTGTAAACTGAACATGTTTGGAAGCCTGCCTGATGTAATTTTATAGCATTATTGGAAGGATCACAAAGAAAAACAAGCTGTATTCTATGATCACTAAACTCTGGAATCATTAAGTCTAAGAAAATTATTGCCAGATGTAACAAGTTAGATTTTCACATAAATATTTCCAAAATCTATTGAATTAATCACCTCCAATCTTGTCTGATCATCGCATAGCTAAAAGTAATTTATTAGTAATCTACTGCAATTGTTCAAATGCAACTGTATCAAGCAGGAATTCTGAAAGACAATAGTATGAAGCAGATTTTATCTTAGTTTATAATCTCATTTCTCTCAACGCTTGCTTATTAGTCAGTTTATCTCTGATCTATTTTCCTTTAAGGTCAAATTGCATTTCCCTCTTGAGGATTTTCAT